TTACTCTTCTCAATTCTTCGCCTCAGCCTCCTGTTACTACAGGCACTTTGTGCACACCAATGCCAGCTAATGTTTTTTCTACATATATATGTGGCAATAATTTCTTTGTATTTATAGTAAGATGGGTCTCGTCTCTTGCATCAGGCTGAGCTAGGCTGATGCCACGGCACTCACTCTGGCCTGAGCAACAAAGCAAGACTCTGTTTCAAAAAAAAGAAGTTAAACAGCCTCTTTGGTCTTCTTGTAGCCTTCAACTTTATCTTTGACCACCAAAGGAAGTTCAGGAACTTCCTCAAAAAGATGACCTTTTGACATGACCAGTGCTGGTAAGGCCGAAGCAGCCAGGGCAGAGCAGGTGGCACACCGCTTTTGGGTTGTGTTCACTCTACGGTGCCAGCGATGCCAAGTCTTGGTTGGTGCAAGCATGCGGCCCCACGACACATATTTGCAAAAGCACCCTGGCCAGAACGGTGAGTCCCACCACCTCGAATTCTGGGAATTCTAGCCACATCCCTGCCAGTACCCCAAGACTCAGCACTAGTCTGATGACCTGCTAATTCGCTGAGAGCATAGGGGCTGCCTGTTGTTTTTGCGCAAGTTGGCGTGAACGAAGTTCACAATATCTTGTTGAATGGGAGCCTTGAAGACTGCAGGCAAAGTGACATTTTTGCCAGATGAGTCCCCCTTTTCGGAGTACACTGGTATCAGTGGACAAGCACAAGCCATGGCGGGGAGAGGAGAAGGCCATTCATACATTCTTGAAAAAGGGAGGAGAGAAATAAACTAGAGTCCAAAAGCGGTTAAATAGTGGCCCTTTTTGATTGCTACTGCCATTAAATATTCTAATACATCATTCAGTTTACTGTCAACTCAGCATGGGAAGAGTTTTATACCTTTAAATGACCATATTTAAACTCTGGCATCCAGGTGGGGTGGTGGCTCACACCTGTAATCCTAGCACTCTGGGAGGCCAAGGCAGGAGGATGGCTTGAGGTCAGGAGTTCAGGCAAGCTGAAGCAAGAGTAAGACCCCGTCTCTACTAAAGATAGAAAAATTGAAAATTCCCCGGGCTTGGTGGCACACATCTGTAAGTCCTAGCTACTTGGGAGGCTGAGGCAGTAGGATCCCTTCAGCCCAGGAGTTTGAAGTTGCTGTGAGATTTTTTCTCGATTAATAAATAAGTAAGCAAAATAAACTCTGGTATCCATGGTTAGTTTTAATCTAACTCTCAGAGAGCAATCTTGTTCACTATTTCCAAGTTCTTAGGAAACATTCAATTGTTGCCCTAGTCCTCTCACTCCCAATACATCATGTTATGTTCTGCCTCTGTGACTTTGCACACATTTTCCTCAGCTTAAAATACATTTCATTATTTGTCTGAAAAGACTTCCTTTACCCATCCAAGTAGAGCCAATCACACTATCCTTTATATCACCTATATTCTTAGACCATACATCTATTGCTATAGCTATCAAATTATATTTCTTTGTTTATATGTCTAATATCCTTGTGACTGGGAGTTACTTCAGGGCAAAGGTTGGAATTTATCTTTGCAATGACAGGGCCTTACTAGTCTGTGCATCGACAATAACAAAATACCATAGAATGGATGACTTAAACAACGAATTTTCGATAGCCAACTTCTTGCTGTGTCCTTACATGGTGGGGAGGAAGGTAGAGAGAGTGAGAGAGAAGATCTGTCATGTCTCTTCCTATAAGT